CCCAGGCTGGAGTGCAATGGCGCGATCTCGGCTCACCGCAGCCTCCGCCTCCTGGGTTCAGGCAATTCTCCTGCCTCAGCCTCCTGAGTAGCTGGGATTACAGGCACGTGCCACCATGCCCAGCTGATTTTTTTTGTATTTTTAGTAGAGACGGGGTTTCACCATGTTGACCAGGATGGTCTCGATCTCTTGACCTCGTGATCCACCCACCTCGGCCTCCCAAAGTGCTGGGATTACAGGCGTGAGCCACCGCGCCCGGCCAGAACTGTGTTAAGTCTTAGGGTTAAAAAGGACTAGTTGCCAGGTATTTATTTATTATCATTGTAAATAGAAAAGTAAATCATCACAATTTTATGTGACTTTCCATGGGATACAAATGTGTAGCATTCATCATAAAAGATGTCATCTGGATATCTTGTTCAAATATAATTTAAACTTAGTATGTTCTGATATTGTTAAAGATATAGGGATATAAACCACTCACATTTTAGTAAGAAAGGCAAGAAAATGACTAATAATGATATGATATAGCATATATGTTTGTTGTCCCGCACTGTCGTATGCCCAGCTGGGCAACGTTTGCGCAGCCAGACACGGAGCAGTCGTGGCTAGTGATTGTGGTCGTAAAGTCGAATGGTCGTAAGTTGCATAGGTCGTAAGTCGATCAATACCTGTACAGGCATACGCCACCACACCAGCCTATTTATTTTTATTTCTTTTTGAGATGCAGTCTCGCTCTGTCACCCAGGCTGGAATGCAGTGGTGCGATCTCAGCTCACTGCAACCTCTGCCTCCCAGGTTCATGCTATTCTCCTGCCTCAGCGTCCCAAGTAGCTGGGATTGTGGGTGTGGGCCACCACACCCGGCTAATTTTTGTATTCTTTTTTCTTTTTTTTTTTTTTTTGGGACGGAGTTTCGCTCTTGTTACCCAGGCTGGAGTGCAATGGCGCAATCTCGGCTCACTGCAACCTCCACATCCTGGGTTCAGGCAATCCTCCTGCCTCAGCCTCCTGAGTAGCTGGGATTACAGGCACGCGCCACCATGCCCAGCTAATTTTTTGTATTTTTAGTAGAGACGGGGTTTCACCGTGTTGACCAGGATGGTCTCGATCTCTTGACCTCGTGATCCACCCGCCTCAGCCTCCCAAAGTGCTGGGATTACAGGCTTGAGCCACCGCGCCCGGCTATTTTTTGTATTCTTAGTAGAGACAAAGTTTTGCCTCATTGAGCAGGCTGGTCTTGAACCTGTGACCTCAGGTGATGCTCGCACCTCGGCTTCCCAAAGTGCTGGGGTTACAGGCATGAGCCACCACACTCGGCCCAGCCTATTTATTTATTTATTTATTTCTGAGATGAAGTCTCACTCTGTCGCCCAGCCTGGGGTGCATTGGCGTGATCTCAGCTCACTGCAACCCCTGCCTCCTGAGTTCAAGCCTCATCCTCAGCCTACTCAGTAACTGGGATTACGGGTACCTGCCACCATTCCTGGCTAATTTTTTTTTGTTTTTTTGAGACAGGGTCTCACTCTGTCGCCAGGCTGGAGTGCAGTGGCACCATCCTGGCTCACTGCAACCGCAACCTCCACCTCCTGGGTTCAAGTTGATTCCTCTGCCTCAGCCTCCCAAGTAGCTGGGATTACAGGCGTCCGCCACCACACCCAGCTAGTTTTTTGTATTTTAGTAGAGACGAGTTTCACGTGTTAGCCAGGATGGTCTCGATATCCTGACCTTGTGATCCCCGCCCACCTTGGCCTCCCAGAGTGCTGGGATTACAGATGTGAGCCACCACACGCAGCCAATTATTTTTATTTTATTTTATTTTTTATTTTTTTTTTTTTTTTTGAGACGGAGTCTCGCTCTGTCACCCAGGCTGGAGTGCAATGGTGCAGTCTCGCCTCGTCGCAACCTCTGCCTCCCAGGTTCAAGTGATTCTCCTGCCTCAGCCTCCTGAGCAGCTGGGATTACAGGTACCTGCCACCACACCCGGCTAATTTTTGCATTTTTAGTAAAGATGGGGTTTCACCATGTTGGCCAGGCTGGTCTCAAACTCCTGATCTTATGATCCACCCGCCTCGGCCTCCCAAAGTGCTGGGATTACAGGCCTGAGCCACTGCGCCCAGCCTTAGGAACTTTGTGATTACATCAGGCCCACATGGATACACCAGGATAATCTCAAGATCCTCAACTTGATCCCATCTGCAAAGTCCTGCCATGAAAGGTCACGTATTCATAGGCTCTGAGAAGCAGGACAGAGACATCGTAGAGGTGGGTGGAGGGGTGGCCGCTATTCTGCCTTCCACAGCTCCTCTCTCTCTGTCCTGATTTCAAATTCTGGCAAGAGAGCAGATGGTCCCCCTGGTTTGAGTCATGTGTTTCCCTGGCCAGGTTAGGTCAGCCAAGGGCAGGCAGTTAATGCTGATCTCAAAAGAAAAGGCCTACTTGGGGCCGGGTGCAGCGGCTCACACTTGTAATCCCAACACTGTGGGAGGCCAAGGCAGGGGGATCACTTGCGGTCAGGAGCTTGAGACCAGCCTGTTCAATATGGTGAAACCCCATCTCTACTAAAAACACAAAAATTAGCTGGATTTGGTGGTTCAAGCCTGTAATCTCAGCTTCTGGGAAGAATTGATTGAACTCAGGAGGTGGTGGTTGCCGTGTACCAAGATCATGCCATAACACTCCAGCCTGGGTGACAGAGCGAGACTCTGTCTCAAAAATAATAATAATAATAGGCCAGGTGTGGTGGCTCATGCCTGTAATCCCAGCACTCTGGGAGACTGAGGCAGGCAGATCACTTGAGGTCAGGTGTTCGAGACCAGCCTGGCCAACATGATGAAACCCCATCTCTACTAAAAACACAATAATTAGCTGGGCGTGGTGGTGCATGCCTGTAATCCCAGCTACTGGGGAGGCTGAGGCAGGAGAATGACTGGAACCCAGTAGGCGAAGGTTGCAGTGAGCCAAGATCATGCCACTGCACTCCAGCCTGGGTAACAGAGCAAGACTCCGTCTCAAATAATAAAAATAATAATAAATAAAGATTTGGGGACCAGTTGAATAATAAAGTGTTGGAGACAGCCTTGTGGCCACATGGATAAGGGCCAGCAGGCATTTCCCTGGGAAAGGGAAGGACATTGGTCTGTGGCCAGTGCAGATATACATCACATTTCTTCCCCTGGCTTCTAAGCCAAAACTTTGCTGGCTTCTAATTTCAGCCTGCTTGCTTTCAATCCCTCTCTGAGCCCCTCTCTCTCTTCCTTCCTTCCTTCCTTTTCTTCCTCTTTTTCCTCCTCCTCCTCCTCCTCCTCTCCTTTTCTTCTCCTCCCCCACCCCACCCATCCTCTGGCTGTGTGAATCAAGCAGATGGTGTAGATGGAGGCAGTGAGGGCAGGACTTACACCATTCTCTAACATCACTGACTCCTCCATTCCTGACCTGTCTTTTCCCTTAACTTTCTGTGAAATATGGAGTACATGTTAGGAGTGTTTTGGGCTTCAAGTCACAGAAATCATGACTAAAAGTGCCTTCTTTGTTACAGGAGCAAGAAGGCCAAGGTGGGTAAGGCAGCTGAGCGATGCTACTGGGGACCAGGCAATATCCACCATTCAGCTCCACCACCATTAAGGGTGTAGGACTTTGTCTCCCAGTGTTGCCTCATGGTCCCAAGGTAGCTGCTGTGGCTCCAGATCTTACATCACCATTCCAGACAGTAAGAATAGGGAAGGACAAAAGGCAGAAGATTTTCTCCTAGTGTGCTTTTGCCTTTTCTTCTCCATCGGGGACATCCTGTCCAAGGGCTTTCCCTACATCTCATTGGCCAGCATGAGTGGCCTGAGCAGTTGAGTTACAAAATCTTTTAGGTCTCTCTCTCTCTTTTTTTTTTTTTTTGAGACAGAGTCTCACTGTGTCACCCAGGCTGGAGTGCAGTGGGTATCAGCTCACAGCAACCTCTGCCTTTTGGGTTCAAGCGATCCTCCTGCCTCAGCCTTATGAGTAGCTGGGATTACAGGTACCTACCACCCTGCCTGGCTAATTATTGTATTTTTAGTAGAGACATGGTTTCACCATCATGACTAGGCTGGTCTCAAACTCCTGAGCTCAGGTGATCCGCCTGCCTTGGTGTCCATAAGTGCTGGGATTTCAGGCGTGAGCCACCACACCAGGCTTTTTTTTTGAAACAAGAGTCTCACTCTGCCGCCCAAGCTGGAGTGCAATGGTGCAATCTCAGCTCACTGCAACCTCCGCCTCCTGGGTTTAAATGATTCTCCTGCCTCAGCCTCCTGAGTAGTTGGGATTACAGGTGCCCACCACCAGGCCTGGCTAATTTTTGTATTTTCAGTAGAGATGGGGCTTCACCGTGTTGGCCAGGCTGGTCTCAAACTCCTGACCTCAGGTGATCCACCTGCCTCAGCCTCGTGAAGTGCTAGGATTTCAGGTGTGAGCCACTGCCCCCAGCCTCTCTTGATTCTAGAAGAATCTGGAAGAGCTAGGCTAGGAAGTGGAGCCTCAGCATTCTCCCCTCTGCCCTCCACCCTACCCTGCTGCAGGGGGAGACGCCAGTGCCCAACATCATGGAAACTGCCTTCTACTTCGAGCAGGCTGGCGTGGGCCTGAGTGCCGATGAGAGCTTCCGCATTTTCCTGGCCCTGAAGCAGCTGGTGGAGCAGCAGCCCATCCACACCTGTCGCTTCTGGGGCAAGATCCTGGGAATCAACCGCAGCTACCTGGTGGCTGAGGTGGAATTCCGGGAGGGCGAGGAAGAGGTGGAGGAGGAGGAAGTCGAGGAGGTGATGGAGGGCGCCGAGATCCTGGAGGCACACGGCGAGGAGGAGGGCGAGGAGGACGAGGAGAAGGCCGTGGACTTCATCCCTAAGCCCACGTGGAAGCCGCCACCTGTAATCCCCAAGGAGGAGAGCCGCTCCGGCGCCAACAAGTATCTATACTTTGTGTGCAACGAGCCGGGCCTGCCGTGGACGCGCCTGCCCCACGTCACACCGGCCCAGATCGTCAATGCCCGAAAGATCAAGAAGTTCTTCACAGGCTACCTGGACGCACCGATTGTCAGCTACCCACCCTTCCCGGGCAACGAGGCCAACTACCTTCGGGCCCAGATCGCCCGCATATCGGCGGCCACACAGATCAGCCCGCTAGGCTTCTACCAGTTTAGCGAGGAGGAGGGCGACGAGGAGGAGGAAGGTGGTGCTGGGCGCGACTCCTATGAGGAGAACCCCGACTTCGAGGGCATACCCGTGCTGGAGCTGATCGACTCCATGGCCAACTGGGTACATCACACACAGCATATCCTGCCGCAGGTGAGCACCGGGAGCCCGGGCGTGACCATGCAGTACTGATGTCAGGCTGGGCGCGGTGGCTCACGCCTGTAATCTCAGCACTTTGGGAGGCCGAGGTGGGAGGATCAAGGTCAGGAGTTCAAGACCAGCCTGGCCAACATGGTGAAACCCCGTCTCTCCTAAAAATACAAAAATTAACTAGGTGTGGTGGCAGGCACCTGTAGTCCCAGCTACTTGGGAGGCTGAGGCAGAATTGCTTGAACCCGGGAGTTGGAGGCTGCAGTGAGCCGAGATGTCACCACTGCACTCCAGCCTGGCAGAACAAGACTCCGTCTTAAAAAAATTTTAAAAAAAAGGCCGGGCGCGGTGGCTCACGCCTGTAATCCCAGCACTTTGGGAGACCGAGGTAGGTAGATCACGAGGTCAAAAGATTGAGACCATCCTGGTCAACATGGCGAAACCCTGTCTCTACTAAAAATACAAAAATTAGCCGGCGTGGTGGTGAGTGCCTGTAGTCTCAGCTACTCAGGAGGCCGAGGCAGGAGAATAGCTTGAACCCGGGAGGCAGAGGTTGCGGTGAGCTGAGATCATGCCACTGCACTCCAGCCGGGGCAGCAGAGTGAGACTCTGTTTCAATTTAAAAAAAAAAAGAAAAAAAGGAATCAATGAGTGAATGAAAAGTGAATGAGGGTTGCACAGTCAGGAGTCCTCATGTCAATATAGCAGCTCCGTTGGCCCGTTTCCCACCTCCCCTTAACTGTGCAGCTAAATCTTGCCCTCTTGCCCGTGCCTGGGTCTCTGAGGACAGGGCCATGCTTTAGTCCCACTGGGCTTTCACCTCCCTGCAGGGTGCAGGCTGGGCTCCGTGCACTGGGGCATCACCTGAGCTTCCTCCCACCCACAGGGCCGCTGCACTTGGGTGAACCCTTCGCAGAAGACAGAGGAGGAGGAGGACCTGGGGGAGGAGGAAGAGAAGGCAGATGAGGGGCCGGAGGAGGTGGAGCAGGAGGTGGGCCCCCCACTGCTAACACCACTTTCAGAAGATGCAGGTAAGAAGCGTTCTCAGCCTGCACACCACTGGCCAGGAAGGGCTGGGAAGAAAGGGAGGGGCAGCTGGACTGCTGGGATCCATCTCCCTCATCCTTCCCTCCCAGCCTCAGAGGCTCAGCTACAAAATGGGCATGATCACAGTGGCACCCCATCAGGAGGTTCTGGGAACATGTCCATAGACGTGTGGCAGTGGCCCAGACCTTAGGATATGGCCTTTTGAGTCCCACATGGGCCTAAAGGGAAGGAGATGTAGTTGGGGAACTCTCCCTAAAGACTGGAGCTGGGGCCGGGCGCGCTGGCTCACACCTATAATCCCAGCACTTTGGGAGGCTGAGGCGGGTGGATCACAAGGTCAAGAGATCAAGACTATCCTGGTCAACTTGGTGAAACCCCGTCTCTACTAAAAATACAAAAAAAATCAGCTGGGCATGGTGGTACACACCTGTAGTCCCAGCTACTCGGGAGGCTGAGACAGGAGAATTGCTTGAACCCAGGAGGCGGAAGTTGCGGTGAGCCGAGATCACGCCATTGCACTCCAGCCTGGGTAACAAGAGCGAAACTCTGTCATAAAAAAAAAAAAAAAAAAAGACTGGAGCTGGATTGGATCACAAGGTCAGGTGTTCGAGACCAGCCTGGCCAACATAGTGAAACCCCATCTCTACTAAAAACACAAAAAATTAGCCAGGTGTCGTGGCAGGCGCCTGTTATCCCAGCTACTCGGGAAGCTGAGGCAGGAGAATTGCTTGAACCTGGGAGGTGGAGGTTGCACTGAGCTGAGATCACACCACTGCACTCCAGCCCAGGCAGCACTGTGAGACTTTGTCTCAAGAAAAAAAAAAAAGACTGGAACTGGGTGTGTGTGTATTGTTGTTGCTGTTGTTGTTGTTGTTTTGAGACGGAGTCTGGCTCTGTCGCCCAAACTGGGGTACAGTGGTGCAATCTCAGGCTCACTGCAACCTCAACCTCCCGGGTTCAAGCGATTCTCCTGTCCCAGCCTTCTGAGTAGCTGAGATTGCAGGCGCACACTACCACACCCAGATAATTTTTGTATTTTTAGCAGAGACAGGGTGTCACCATGTTGGCCAGGCTGGTCTTGAGCTCCTAACCTCAAGTGATCCACCTTCCTCAGCCTCCCAAAGTGCTGGGATTATAGGCAAGAGCCACTGTGCCCAACCTGGAGCTGGATTTTGGATGAATGGACAGGAATTTCCTAAGGTTGGGGCCTCACGCACCCACAGAGTAGTGGAGAGAGAGGCTCAGAGTGGGTAAGGGGACAAGTCCTAGATTTGAAACTAGATCCTGCCAGCCTGTGCCCTCTGCACCCTAGTCCAAACCAATGGTCAGCTCGGGAGTGGAATCACAGCGGCTCTCCAGTCTGGGGGCACTGCTGGGCGCCAAGCACTGCAGCGGATGTGCTGCAGACACTGTCACCAGGCCTCAATACCACCCTCCAACAGAGGCCAGGTGAACCTCTCCATTTTCTGGGTGCAGCTACTGAGGCTCAGACAGGTGAACTGGCTTCCTGGGGCCACAAAGAGAGTGGTCCAGGCTGGGCGCAGTGGCTCACATCTGTAATCCCAACACTTCAGGAGGCCAGAGTGGGTGGATCACCTGAGGTCAGGAGTTTGAGACCAGCCTGGCCAACATGGTGAAAACCTGTCTCTACTAAAAATACAAAAAATTAGCCAGGCATGGTGACACACACCTGTAATCCCAGATACTCAGGAGGCTAAGGCAGGAGGATTGCTTGAACCTGGGAGGTGGAGGTTGCAGTGAGCTGAGCTCATGCCATTGTACTCCAGTCTGGGCAACAGAGCAAGACTCTGTCTCAAAAAAAAAAAAAAAGAGAGAGAGTGGTCTGCAGCCAGGGTTCAAACACGGCAGCCTGAGCTATTGGTCGCTGTAGTTCCCTTGATAACCCTCCAGGCCTCCCTCATTGCTGCCTGCCTTCCTATGGGGCACAGTGCAGGGCCTGGGGCCTCCCTGACCCTGCCGCCCCTCTCTGCTGCCTCTCCACCACAGAAATCATGCATCTGTCACCCTGGACCACGCGCGTGTCCTGCAGCCTCTGCCCACAGTACTCGGTGGCCGTCGTGCGCTCCAACCTCTGGCCCGGGGCCTTTGCCTACGCCAGCGGCAAGTAGGTGTTCTCCCAGCGGGGCGATCCCTTAGGACTTCTTCGAGGCTCGGTTGGGCTGGGCACCTTGCCAGGGTGGACAGAGATGGAGAGGGCCCCCTTCAGGAAGCCCCCAGGACTGACCCCCTCACAGCTCCTAGGAGTTTCACAGGTGTTGGGAACCAGCGCAACCCTGTTCGTGGGTGCCTTGTGTCCCGGCAGTGACGAGGGAGTAAGAAAAGAAACAAAGACACAAGAATAGAATTTTACAGCATGGGTCCAGGGGTCCAACGCACTCTCGCAGGGTGATCCGCGTTAGCATTGAACTCCCACCCAGCTCCACACTCTCCACAGTCCAGCCTTCCTGACCAGCCGCCTGGCCACCGCCCGCGAGACGGGGTTTGCAGCTGGCGGTGGGCGCACCTACCAGCTCTGTCCACCAGATGGCGTGACGACTTCTCCTAGAATTTCCTTTTTAATCTCAATGCGAACCAGGGCTATTCGCTCTGATATGAATCACAGCCATGGTGGGATTGCACGTAATCTGGATACTTTAACACATTCCTGGCATTTTTTTTTTTTTTTTTGCCTTCTCTTGAAGCTGGGAAGAGGCATGTTTGCTTTTGCCAACTCCCTTCTTCTGGCCATACCCCAATATGCCAACATCCCTCTGAAAGCAAAAGATCCAAACTTGAGGCCCCACTTGCCCATCCATCCGCTGCCCCCACCCACCCACCTGTTCTTCGGTCCCCCACCCAATCTGTGTCCATCCATTGTTACATTGTTTTTCTTTTCTTTTCTTTCTTTCTTTTATTTTATTTTATTTTTTTTGAGATGGAGTCTCTGTCACCCAGGCTGGAGTGCAGTGGTGCAATCTCAGCTCACTGTAACCTCCACCTCCCAGGTTCAAGTGATTCTCCTGCCTCAGCCTCTTGAGTAGCTGGGATTCCAGGCGCCTGCCACCACACCCAGCTAATGATGTATTTTTTGGTAGAGATGAGGTTTTGCCACATTGGCCACGCTGGTCTCGAACTCCTGACCTCAGGTGATCCACCTGCTTTACCCGCCTTAGCCTCCCAAAGTGCTGGGAATACAGGCATGAGCCACCACACCCAGCCAAATATTGTGTCTTGGGGGGATCAGGGAAGAATTCCTGGGAAAAACAGTTTTTCTTTTTCCCATTACCTCTTTCTCAGGGAAAGGAAGAGATAATGGGGAAAAGCAGGCAGAAGGAACATCCTAGACCAGAGTTTCCCAACTGTGAGTGTGTGGCAATCCCCTAGGAATCAGGTTTGGATGCAGATTCTGGTTCTATGGGTCTGCCACAGAGCCTGAGGTCTGCGTTTCTGACAAGCTCGCAGGTGTAGCTGAGGCTCCTGATTCCAGGGCCACCTGAACCAGGACAGGTAGGGAGTGCAAGTCTTCCAAAGAAGCTGTGCCTTTGAAGACTCCAAGGAAGTCCTGGATTAAAACAATTCCTACAGAAAAGCAAGAATGTAAAAATAAGGTCAAACCCAAACGGCTCCTCCATGCAAACTCCACATCCTGCCCTACCTTGCTTCTTGCTCTTTCTCCTCCTACTTCTCTCTTTTTTTTTTTTTTTTTCCTTGAGATGAAGACTCGCTCTGTTGCCCAGGCTAGAGTGCAGTGGCATGATCATAACTTACTGCAGCCTCAAACTCCTGGGCCTGAGCCGTCCTCCCACCTCAGCCTCCCCAGTAGCTGGAACCATAGGCATTTGCCACCACAACTGGGTAATTTTTAAACTCTGGGAGGTGGAGTCGGGCAGATCACTTGATGTCAGGGGTTCGAGACCAGCCTGGCCAACATGGTGAAACCCCCTTTCTACTAAAAATACAAAAATTAGTCCAGGCATGGTTGCTTATGCCTGTAATCCTAGCACTTTGGGAGGATGAGGTGGATAGTTCACTTCAGGTCAGGAGCTTAAGACCAGTCTGGCCAAAATGGTGAAACCCCATCTCTACTAAAAATACAAAAATCAGCTGGGTGAGGTGGTGTGCGCCTGTAGTCCCAGCTACTCGGGAAGCTGAGGTGGGAGAATGGCTTGAACCCAGGAGGCGGAGTTTGCATCCAGCCTGGGTGAGACACAGAGAAACCCAGTGAGCACATTTCAGCCTGCCATCCTCGACCTTGCCGTCATGCTACGCACACGCTGGGTCCCACCTTTAAAGGAAGTCAAGGCTGGGGCCTTTGAAGGAGAATTTCACAGTGTCTCACTGCCTCTCCAGAAAGTTTGAGAACATCTACATCGGCTGGGGTCACAAGTACAGCCCCGAGAACTTCAACCCGGCCCTGCCAGCCCCCATTCAGCAAGAGTACCCCAGCGGCCCAGCGATCATGGAGATGAGTGACCCCACAGTGGAAGAGGAGCAGGCCTTGAAAGCAGCTCAGGAGCAAGTCCTGGCAGCCACAGAGGAGGAGGAGGAGGGCGAGGAAGAGGAGGAGGGCGAGGAGACAGATGACTGAGGCCCTCGACACAGCCACTTTCCCCAAGCAGGTAGATAGCAGATTTCCCCTTGTCAGTAGTTAGTATGGATTATGTTTTCACTGTCTGCTTCCTGTCCCCAGAGGGCAGGGATAGAAACAGAAGGCAATTGCCTCAAATAAAATTCCTCCACAGCATTATGGATGAGCCATTCTTTCCTTTATTTGCTACGTCTGTTGACCTGGACTCCAAGTCAGGGCTCTTGGGCCCTGCAGAGGGCACAGACATTGCCTGGCAGAGCCTCTCCCACCTGTTTGGTTTTTGTTGTTGTTTGAGACAGGGTCTCATTCTGTCACCCAGGTTGGAGTACAGTGGCACAATCTCAGATTCCTGCAGCCTCGACCTCCCGGGCTCAAGCAGTCCTCCCATCTCAGCCTCCTGAGTGCATATCACCACATACACTAATTTTTTTTGAGATGGAGTCTCACTCTCTCACCAGGCTGGAGTCCAGTGGCACGATCTCAGCTCACTGCAACCTCCGCCTCCTGGGTTGAAGTGATTCTCCTGCCTCAGCCTCTGATGTAGCTGGGACTATATGCACGTGCCACCACACCCAGCTAATTTTTTGTAGTTTTAGTAGAGACAGGGTTTCACCATGTTGGCCAGAATGGTCTCAATCTCTTGACCTTGTGATCTGCCCACCTTGGCGTCCCAAAGTGCTGGGATTACAGGCATGAGCCACAGCGCCCGGCCCACATTCACTAATTTTTGTATTTTTTGTAGAGACAGGGTCCTGAGTAGCTAGGACTCCAGGCACAGGCCACCATGCCTGGCTAAATTTTTTCAATTTTTGGGGGGTCTCACTATGTTGCCCAAGCTGGTCTTGAACTCCTGGCATCAAGCAATCTGCCGGTCTTAGCCTCCCAAAGTGTTGGGATACAGCCACCATGACCAGCCCCACCTGTTTTATTTATTCATTTATCTGGCCATCAAACTATTACTGAAATACCTCCTGTCAGCCCAACCCTGTGCTGGGGACACAGAGGTGACCAGACAGCTGCAGCCCTGCCTTCCTGGACCTCACAACACTATAAGGAGCAAGACTCATCTCTAGATAGTGACAGCCCAAAGGGAGAAGCCCAGAGGACTGACAGAGATCCCCAGCCAACTCTTAAAGGGTCAAGAAAAGAACAGGGAAAGGCATTCCAAGAATAGGGAACAGAATGTGCAAAGACCCAAGGGCAAGAGAGAGTGTGATATGTTGGCATAGTTTTTCAAGCCTCATTTTAGGTGGTAGATAGTGTGAGGACTTAGTAGTGAGAGATGAGATTGAAAAAAGGTTGGCAGGGGCCAGATCACTTGGGGCTTAATTTTGTCCTGAGAGTACTAGGGAGCTACAGAGGGGTTTTGAGCAGGGTAGGGCCCTGATCATATTCATGCTTTAGAAAGACCTCTCTAGGCTGGGCACAGTGGCTTATGCCTGTAATCCCAGCACTTAGGAAGGCCAAGGTGGGTGGATCACCTGAGGTCAGGAGTTTCCCGTCTCTACTAAAAATGCATAAAAGTAGCCAGGTGTGGTGGCAGATGCCTGTAATCCCAGCTACTTGGGAGGCTAAGGAGAAGAATCGCTTGAACCCGGGAGGTAAATGTTGCAGTGAACAAAGATTATGCTGTTGATCTCCAGCCCAGCAGGTGACAAGAGTGATACTCCATCCCAAAAAAGAAAAAAGAAAAAGAAAAGAAAGACCAAAGACCTCTGTACATGCCGAGTGAAAGGTGGAAATGGGGATGAGACAGAAATCTGGGAGACCAAGAGACAAGGTTGATGTGGGGGGTGGGGAAAGGGCTCAGGTAGAGAAGGAGCTTGGATCAGGGCTTCAGAGAACAAGGAACTGAGAAAGAGGAATTCCAGGTGGTCGAATGCAAAAAACTTGGAGAATGGAAGTGAGGACACAGTGAAGAGAAATGGTACACATCTAGGAAGACGCCCAGGTTTGTGGTCTGGTTGACTCAGTGGACGGCAGAGCTAGCTCTAAGATGCAAGAGAGGGGCAGGATTTGGTGTAAGACGTCAGGTTCATTGTAGAATACTTTTTTCTTTTTTTTTTCAGAGACTGAGTCTGGCTCTGTCCCCCAGGCTGTAGTGCAGTGGCGTGATTATAGCTCACTGCAGTTTTGAGCTCCTAGGTTCAAGAGATCCACCTTAGCCTCCAAAAGCGCTGGGATTCTGGGGTTCCAGGTGTGAACCACCCTGCCTGAACTATTGTAGGATTTTTTTATTATTATTTATTATTAACTTATTTATTTTTAAGATGGGGTTTCACCATGTTAGTCAGGCTGCTCTTGAAATCCCGTCCTCAGGTGATCCACCCACCGTGGCCTCCAAAGTGCTTGGATTACAGACGTGAGCCACCACGCCTGGCAGGATTTTTTTTTTAAGTGTGAGATGCCCTTGGGAGAAATAGGGGAGGCCATTGACTACGTGAGACTAGAAAGATCTATGATGGGGCCTGGTGGCTTCAGCACACATGGGGAGCACTGGCTACAAGTAGGAGCTGTTGGGATCAGAGGGAGACTTTGGGTTGCAAACGGATCACTGGGACACTGGGGCACCGTGAGGATCAGTACAATTTGGGAATCGAGTAGGTTTTGGAGGCCAAGTGAGGTTGTTGAAAATAAATCATGAAGGTTAACTTTGGAGGTTGGTGGAAAATATGAAGGATGTTTGGGGTTAGCATTAATCAATAGTGGGTCAGAGGAAGTCCTTGGAGTTGTGCGGGAACACAGGGATTTGGCGGGTCACCAAGAGTGGGGAAGAATGGTAGGAGATGCTTTGGTAATTTGGAGACTTGAATATGTCAGTGGGAAACTTTGGAGGTCAGGGGAGTGTATGTTGGGAGTCTAAGGAGAGACTAAGGGTCCCTTGGGGTCGGCTGTGACTTCATGGGAAGGTTGGATTATGGACGAGGGCTTCTTTGGCGGGGGTGGGGGGGGGGTCCCTTCGTTGCCAAGCAAACGGTTCCCAGGGCGCGGTCGCTAAGGGCTTGAGATTTCTAACTGGCCACGCCTCTTTCCAATACGGGCTCCGCCCCCGCAGCCAACCAAAAGTCGGTCACAGGCACAAAGGCCGCGCCCACCTTCGCGCCCCGCCCACAGTCTCAGCTTGTTACCCGAGCGACCGTGGGGGATCGTCCCGCTTCCGGACCTGGGTGCCAATCGAAGAGGCGTCGCCCAGGCGACGACCCCACCTTTTCCGGTGTGGGCTCGCGGCTTCCGGCAGGGGGGTCCTGCTGCGGGCGGCGGTCCGGCAGCCGCTGGGCCCGGGGGGCGCCCAAGATGGCGGCGGGCGGCGCGGAGGGTGGCTCGGGCCCCGGCGCCGCCATGGGGGACTGCGCGGAGATTAAGTCGCAGTTCCGCACCCGCGAGGGTTTCTACAAGCTGCTCCCGGGCGACGGCGCCGCTCGCAGGTCTGGTCCGGCTTCCGCCCAGACCCCGGTGCAGCCCCAACCGCCGCAGCCCCCGCCCGGCCCTGCCTCCGCCTCCGGCCCGGGCGCTGCAGGCCCCGCGTCGTCCCCGCCGCCCGTAGGCCCGGGGCCCGGGCCCGCGCTGCCCGCCGTGCGCCTCAGCCTCGTGCGCCTCGGAGAGCCGGACAGCGCCGGGGCCGGGGAGCCACCCGCCACGCCCGCGGGGCTGGGCTCGGGGGGAGACCGCGTCTGCTTCAACTTGGGCCGTGAGCTCTATTTCTACCCGGGCTGCTGCCGCCGCGGGAGCCAGCGGGTGAGCGGCCTGTATCGTGGGGCCCTGGGTGCTGAAAGGATGGGGGTTCCAGAGAACTATTAAGAGGGTCCCCGAATTGATAGACATCTTAAATGTGGTGGACGTTCTAGGGCTACGGCATTATTGGAGAGAGTGTAGGATTCTGAAACGTGATGGGAGGCCCGCGGGGTGCTGGGCAGGCATCTTAGAGGTGATGGTGGAATCCCCTTTACCCCCTTTATGCGTAGGGGTTCTGGGATAATGAGTATTTTAAACGTGACCGGGTATCTGAGATGAGGTGGGATCCCCGGTTCTGGGGTGGCAGTCATGGTAATGGGAAATCATGAGATGCAGGCTCAGAGGTGATGTAGAAACCAGTATTGCAGCCTGGAGTGTTCGAGAGGGATCTTGAGATTGAGCCCAGGAATGAGGAGAAGTCTAGAAGTGATGGGAGCCTTGAAGGTAATAGGGGTCTAGAAGCTGAATGGGATCCTATAGAAAATTGGGGTCTGGAGATTATGAGGCTCCTATAGGAGATGAGCGTGTGGAAGCTAATGGGAGATCTTAAGGAGAGGAGAGGCCCCGGCAGGGAAATCTGCAGGTGTGATTCAGGGAATCCCTAAAGCGATGTGGTGAGAGCCCTGGCAGTTTATGGTGGTCCCAGAAATGATGGGGATCCTCAGTGCCCACAGGTGATAAACGGGCCTAAAATGTGGGAGGCCATGAGGTTTGATGGGTCTCCGAACTGTGGCGGTTTGGGGACTCCAAAGTGAAGGTAGTACTAGGACTTTAGGCTTTAGAGTCCTGGGAATTTGGATGACCTCGAGGTTTAGGGGTCTTGGAATATTGTGGTAATAGGTCCCAAGGGAGTTGCTGAGGTTATAGGCTGGAGAGGTGGGGCTAAAAGGAATCGGAGCTCAGGAACTGTGTGGACCCAGAACCCTGATGCTATGGACAAGGGTGTGTCTGAATTAGGGGTGACCCAATTTTGGGGAGACACTGTGGTCAAGGGGATCCTTACCATCTTTTTTGCTGCTCTGTGATTTGGGTCCCCTTCCCGTCTGTGGTTGCCCCCCCTCCCCAACCCACCTACTCACCTCCCCACTTCCCTCTGGGTTCTAACCCTGCTTCCTCTTAGTGGTTTCCCCCAACCTCAACATCCTCTTCCTTCCCCTCAGTGGCATAGACCGTTAACTCCTTTTCTCCCACCCCTCAAGTCCATTGATCTCAACAAGCCAATTGACAAGCGGATCTACAAGGGCACCCAGCCCACCTGCCACGACTTCAACCAGTTCACTGCTGCCACGGAGACCATCTCCCTGCTGGTGGGCTTCTCAGCCGGCCAGGTGCAGTACTTGGATCTCATCAAAAAGGACACCAGCAAGTTATTCAATGAGGAGGTGATTGCACCCCGCAGAGTCCCCAACTGCTCTGCCTTCTCACCC